CTGATTTGCTAGCTGGATTTGCGTGCTCGTTGAGCTTTTTGTCTTTGATTGGTATATTCTTTTGGATCTAAAAAAAATATACCAATCGAAGACAAGAGTTCAACAAGCACGCGAATCCAGCTAGCAAACCAGCAAGAAAAAAAGCATCGTGTGCCGCTGGCTTAAGAGTCTGGCCATCAGAAACTCGATTTTGAAGCGTTTTGATTGGTCCGCCATTTTTTTCTAATTTAAGATTGGGTAGTTTAGCGCAAGCATATGAAATGATGGAACATACATATCCAGATAGCAAAACGTGTCAGCAACGTGACAGCAAAAAGCACAAATTACGAAGTTATGATACATGTTATGCCGGCAAAAATTGAGTAGTAATCCAACATTGCTGTTGCAACAGATATTGCCAGCAAAAATGCGGCACATATCGAGTTCTGCATCATATAACATACTGCTGTAAAAATTGAACAAAGCTTGTCGTCATAAATACATCAGAATTCAAGTATGTTGCCACAATATTCAAAAGAAAATATTCCAAAATGTAGCATGATATGCCATCAAAATATGTTGCAAAAATATAGTAAATATCTGGCATATTTATTCCTTCACTAACAGCAGAAACATGATAAGAATGCCACACGATCTGTAACGTTAGATACTGACAGCAGAAACGTAGCAGAAACAGAGTACAGTGGGCCATCACATCATGACGGCAAAATTTCAACAAGTATAAAGCACGATCTGCCTTATCAGTCGACAGAAACGCAGCAGAAATCGAGTACAGTGTCCGTCACGACGTGACGACAAAATTGCGACAGGTATATGGAATGATCTACTTCAGCTGTCAGCAGAAATACAGTAGAAATGAGTGAGGTCTAATCGGACACATTGCCGATTGGTCGATTAAATAAAAACATTTTTGATAGGTCACTAGAAAATTCTTAGGCATCATCGGCTGATGTGAGTGGTGTGTCCGATTGAAAATGTGCATACCTGACGCTCCCATCTGTCGGCAAATCAGCAACAAAAATCGTACAAAACTCTGTCTGTCACTGAACACAATAATTAGAAAACTACTGCTAGGTTGCGTCCGTTTCTTGCATGCAAAATTTATCAAACTTTTTATATAAGCGAAATCATATTCAACATTTAAACATGTATGTATGATTTACATATTTTTATATATTGCGCTTGATGTAAGACGTAATTGTCCAACAAGGTAGTTGACGAAGTGTAGTACCTGGGAAATAATACATTATATAAAATGTACAATGTTTAATACATTATTTGATACGTTATATAAGAAAGAATCAAAAGAATCATAACTTTATATTTTTAAGAAACTTTTTATAACTTATTTGTACTGTAAAAAATATATTAATTTCATCATTAGTAAAATAATTAAAAATTATTCTTCTAAAATAAGAGATAGAAAAAATAATAGACTATAAGAATGAGGTATAATGGCAATAAAAGCACAGCGCAGTACTATGAGCGCGTAAAGTTTAATATATAATCAATGTATTAGTGTCGGTCCATAATAGGTGATTTAAGCTTTAAGAAGTAACAAATTGACCAATTATAATCGAATATGAAAAGAATAATCGACTATGATTGGTTAATTTCTTACGACTTAAAGATTAAATACTTATTGTGGACCAACACTTAGGTGTACAAAAAAGTTCTGAGCTTTAGATTTCATACAACCGAAATAACAATTTAAATTTTATATATCTTCCCGCCTTTTTGCGGTTTTAAAGCGTTGACATTTGGCCTTCTAAAATGCCATACGGTTTGGCGTTTGATGACATAATCTCAAAAATCAGTAGTATTCACGATGGCAATAACAAAAGAGCATATTCGATTTTCCATCCACTTCGCATTTCATCTGAAGAAAAATGCTGCTGAAGCCACTGCAATGATTTGTGCTGCATATGGAGAGAACGCTGTAAGTCATACTACATGTAAAAAGATGGTTGATAAAAATTTTGCCAAGGAGATTTCAGTCTTGAAGATGAACCGCGTGCTGGACGCCCTCAAAAGATTGAAACGGACGAATTGCAAGCACTGCTGAATATAAACTCTGCGCAAACTGAAAAGGAACTTGCAGAACAGCTTGGCGTTACGCAGCAAACCATTTCCGTACGTTTACATACGATGGGAAAGGTTCAGAAGGAAGGCAGATGGGTTCCGCATGAATTGTCCGAAGACAACAAAAATCGTCGGCGTGACACTGCACTCACTTTGCTTTCAAAGGAAAAAAGATTTTCTGCACAAAATCATTACAGGCGATGAAAAGTGGATTCTTTATGATAACCCTAAACGTAGAAAATCATGGGTTGACCCTGACATCGACGCCAAAGCCCAATATCCACGTCAAGAAGGTTTTGTTCTGTATCTAGTGGGATTGGAAAGGTGTGTTGTATTACGTTGTTACAACCGGGTGAAACAATCACGCTACCAACAACAATTGACCAATTTGAGCGATGCATTAGAAAAAAAGAGGCCATTTACTGGCCAAGGACGTCGTAAACTGATCTTGCTTCATGACAATGCTCGACCACATGTTGCGAAAGCGATATGGCTCAGGACCATATCTTTGCGTTAGGCTGGGAACTTCTCCCGCACGCGGCGTATAACCCAGACATGGCGCCTTCCGATTATTACCTATTCCGATCACTGCAGCATCATTTGGCTGATACACATTTCGTGAGATTTGAAGAAATACGAAAATGCATTGATGACTTTATCGCTTCGAAGCCGGTGAGCTTCTATCGTCAAGGAATTCGCAAGCTATCCGAAAGATGGCAAAAGGTCGTTGATGCAAACGGGGAATATTTCGCTGATTAATATTTTTTGTTTTTGAATAAAGATTGAATTTTACAAAAAAAAAGACTCAGAACTTTTTATACACCTAATAACATAAAGCGGACGTTTCGGCTGATCTTTCCGCCTTCATCAAGAGATAAAAAATACAGATAAATATACTTAAACAGAGAACGAATCGCAAAATAGTTATTGTAGCCGCAAATATCGAAATTCATAACGCCGGTAGTCTCTCACAATACGATGTATCTTCAAGAAATGTTATAGTAGTTGCTAAGATGACCAACTCTTCGAAAGTTGAGAAATCCCAAATTGTCCAGAGCATGATGTTATGATGCATTTGCACTAATGCCTGTAAATGACCGGCGTGGTTCATATATGAGACGATGTGAGAGAACGCGCAGATATATATAAAAAATAACT